CGTTAGCTAAGATTAACTCTTATTTATATAAATTTAATTATTTGAACCAAGATCTATATTTTTTGGTCAAACACTAAGAGCGTCTCCAACCCTCCCCTATTTCTCCATAATGGGGTAATTTTTGTCATAATGGAGCTCCAATGCTCTCCCATTTTTGCCTCCAAAATGATGGATGAATAGTGTTACTCCAAATATGGGGTGACACTATTCATCTCCTCCATTACTATTCATGATTATTTTAATATTATTTTTATTTTTTAACTCTTTTAATTTATCTCTTTATATATACCTAATTATGTTTATGTAATATCTTTATAATATTAATTTTACATCTTAACTTTGGCGTATAATTTTGATAAATTAATTTTCGTGTATTTATTATTTTTATGTAAAATTGTAAGTTAATTTTATTATAAGTTATAATTGCACAAAAAATATATAATCATCTCAAAAAATGAATGGTGCAAAGATATAATAACTACATTTGGAGAAAAGAAGTGTTACATGATATAATAACTACATGTATTATACTGCACAACATGATAATAGAAGATGAACGTGATCTGAATGTACCAATTCAAGATGATTGGGAATGTCCACCTCCAACGGTAGAAATGGTAGTAGATGAAAATCATCGATTTGAGCAATTTTTAGCTCGACACAAAAAAATTAAGGACAAAGATGCCCATTTTGCACTTCTTAATGCATTAATAGATCATTTATGGGAGCATACTAGAGGTGGAAGTTGAATATTTATGTAATATTTAATATGAATTTTACCATAATGTAATATGTATTGAATTATCTTGTATCTCAATGATTTCACTTTTATTTGAATTATCCTTTAATATATATAATCTATAATATTTGCTTACAAATTATATTATTTAAAAATTTATGATATAAAATAATTTTATATTAAATTGTATGTGATGAATATGTAAAAAAGAAAAAAAGATAGATTTTCTTTAATAGAAATAAGAAAATAAAATTTAAATAAAGATAATAATATAATATTGAAGAGAGAGAAGAATATAAAATGAAATATTCTTTTTTAGAGTAATTTTACTGTATTTTGAAGTTTACTGCATTTTGGAAGAGAAAATGGAGGTAACGGTTGGAGATGGCCTAACAACCGCCGTAGTTATGGTCTTATGGAGGTAAACAACAAGTATATTGCAATTAAAGATAACATAAGTGGTGCACCAAAAGAGTCAGACTTTGAGATAAAGAATGAAAGTCTTTCCCTTTCAATTGAGCCAGGGTCTAAAGTTGTTATTGTGAAGAATCTCTATGTATCAATTGATCCATATCAAATAAACCGGATGAAATCTCATATGCAACTCCAACACGTTATGAAATCTCACGTGTAAAAATTTTGGTTCCAGCATATTATTTTAGAACTTTTTCGGATTTTCAAGGATATTTTGTTCAGATTTTATTTTTACATGAAAAAATAATTTAATTTCGATTATTTTTTTAACTGCGGCTAATTTTCAATTAGCAGTTGCGATACTTGGGGTTTAAAATTTTGTTTCCATGACGAGGATTAACTCATAACTTTATTCTCTTGTCGGACAGGCAATTGATACTTATGGTGTGGGGACAGTCGTGGTTTCTGATCGGCCTGAATTCAAGAAAGGTGACTTAGTAACAGGGCTTCTAAGCTGGGGAGAGTACACCAGAATGAAAGAGGACACTGTTGAATAAATTGGATCCCATGGGCTTTCCTTGTCTTGCCACGTCGGAGTTTTTGGTAAATATTCCATCAAAATCATTATTTTCATAGCTGAGGGTCTATTAAAAACAGTCTCTCTGCTCTTCTAGGACAGCGGTACGTACACATTACCCTCCCCATACCCGACTAGTAAAAATTCACTACGTTTGTTATTGTTGTTGTGTTCCATCAAAATCATTGTCCTTTACTAAGGTAGTAGGAGTATATTTTTAGTTTCTTGTCAATTTAGCGACAGAACAAGAATTTCAACTTTATATGTTCTTGATTTTAGATGCGACGACTTCAGGGTTCTAAATTTAATGTACATACTTAATGAATTTCTTAATACAAATATACTATTTGAGCAAAAGCTCACTGGATTCGGCTAAACCCGTAGCCGGGCATCTAGCTCCACGTCTCCCTGTCATAATAATTTTTTGAAAACTCAATAAGAACTAGAGCCACACTAGGGGCGGCTCAACGATATTGGTGGCCTAAAGCCAAACTTCAATAAGAGGCCTTAAATTTATTTAATAAAATTTATTATATTATTTTTATGTTTCTTTCTTTTTTTTGTGGTATACCGACCATCTTGTACGTATCTTGATCATTCATTCATTTACCTGCTAGCTCTCACCATTGCAAATATTTTGAAATTCTACTCATTAAGGCTTAGATAATATTTTTATGAGAAATATATATTGACGGTTAAGATAATATTATTTATAAATTCTCATAATCTAATAATCTCAATTTTGTACCACTAAATAGATATTAGTATAATTTCATGAATTTAAATAGTTCAAGTTTATTTCAAAGTGACAAATGTATTAATCCACTCTTTATACGAAATAATCAACTCTAAAAGATATTACAAGAGTTACAAGAGACTTCATTCTATAATTATCAAAGTCGTTATCAAGTTGTTTATTTTCATATATTGCATATTCATTATAAAATTCGAGTTATTTACTTGAATAACCTCTATCACATTAATTCCAAACAAAGAAGTATAAAATTTAGTATCTTTTATTAATAATTTTATAATATATAATAGTAGTATATAATTTGAAAATTTTGGGCCCTTCAATTGTAGGGGCCTAAAGCAATCGCTTTAGTGGCTTTTCCCTAAAGCTGGCAATGAGCCACACCACATCAATTATTGTTGCATAATTAATAAGACATGCTAAATTGTTGAGCTACTAGTTGCAAGAATGTGATCATCTGAATTTAGAGCATGTAGAAATGCTATTTCTAACTTGATATAGAGCACTTTTAACCAAAACTTCAACATGAGTTAGTTTAACTATTGTAGTATTAATTTTGGCTGCAGGATTCAGTGGACTAGCAGCTTATGGTGGATTTTTTGAGGTGTTAAAGCCACAGAAGTGGGAGAAAGGTTTTGTCTCTGCTGCTTGTGGTTCAGTTGGAGATTTGGTTGGACAATTTGCTAAACTATTTGGATGCTATGTTGTGGGCTCTGCTGGTAGCCAAGAAAAGGTTCTCAAAATGTAGTTCTTGTTATACCTGAGTTGATTTATATTACAGGTACAATTGCTAAAAGAAAAAGTTGGTTTTGATGATGCATTCAAGTATAAGAGGAAGAATCTGATCTTAACTCTTGTCTCAAAAGGTTTAAATCTTCCCTTAACATGAAAATTTGAAAGTTCAATTAGATGACTGATATTTAACTAAAGGCAAACGGTTTGTGGGGTAGTTTCGGAGTACATAAACGCCAACAAACGAGCAGATGGATGTAGTGTATAAGAGGATTACCATTCAAGGATTCCTAGCTGCTGATCATTTCAAAGTGTATGCTGATTTTCAGTCGAAGACAGCTGAAAAACTAAAGGCAATTGAGGATGTCTCCTCTGCCTTTGTAGGATTATTCCGAGGTGGTAATGTGGGGAAAAAGATTGTCCAAGTTGCAGATGGTATTAATTCTTGAAGTTAATATAGTGCATAGAGCTGTTAGATTGGAAAATAAGTTGTAACTAATGGCTCTGTAGCACATGGTTTGTTGACATGAATGCCTCAGAAAGATGATTAATCTGTTGATTGGTTGCCGAGCACTTGGCGTATTTCATAGTACATAGGTCAAGGAACTTTGACTTTCCTGCTATGTGATATTTAATTGACTGCTAGATAGGAACTTGATAAGTACTCCTCTATACTGTCAGCATCAAGAAAATTAATTGCTTCCACATTGAACAATCAATTTTGCAGTTGAATTTCTTTTCATTTGTCTAATCTTGAGTGAACAAAATTATTTAAGTATATGTAACCGTCAAAGTAATTCATTTTCACTCCTTTTGAGTCGAGGGTCTTTCGGAAACAAACTCTCTATCTTCATTAGGTTGGGGTAAGGTCTGTGTACACTTCATTCTCCCCCACTTGTGTGATTTCACTGAACTTGTTGTTGTTGTTGTAACCGTCAAAGTAATTGAGGCATGCACACTGAATCAGACACTACCGTTTAAAAAAAGGAATGTTTTTATTCATGGTTGATGCGAGAAGAAACGATGATTGATGATTGAGAATCTGAGATACCTCTCCTAGTCTCCTTAGTCCCACTCTTGCCGTTATCAAATTTTTTTTTTTTTTTTTTTGAAAGAAGGAACTTGCCATTATTAATGTTTCAAACTGGTAAACTTTTAGTTTCTTTCCTTTTCATTATCCAAGAGACTGTTTGTGTTCTAATTTTGCTAGCTTGTTTAGTAACTTCCATTAATTTGATACAAAAGTGGTTCCACTTAAATTAGCCTGTCTGGTTACACTCGTACTTCAGTTTAATCATATTAAGCACATTGATTCTCGTTTATTTTCCGAATTGAAAACTTCATTTTTCCAATTAACAAATGGGTCGGAAGATGGTTATTTGTACATGAAATTGATAAATTTTGGTTTCGTATTCCCTGAATAGGTATCCGTGAGTATTTGGTTGAAATTTGAAAATATGGTTAGGAGAAGTATTCATCTTACCCAAATAATTGTTTGGTAGTGTTTGAAGGGAAGTGAAATGCCTTATGCTTCTCGTCCAACTTTAGATGGACAATATTGACATGGATAGGAGACATCTCTCTTCTTGTTTCTCCAATTCCTTATTTACTTACTAGCCAAGCAAACACTTCAACGCCTTGCGTTGTACTTTCCCTTTCCTAACATTTTCAGACTAAATGTTAATAATATAAAACTGAAGTCTGGCTACAAAAATCAGACTCCAAGAAATCTTTTGCCAATGAATCATTCCTAACCACATTATAGCTCCTAAAACAACCCTGAGAGAACAAAAAAGAGAGCTTATATATCAAGTAATAAAGTACACAAACAAGCTGGCTGAATGATGAAGCAATGCACTCTACCAGTATGTGCCACAACGTCAACTTGGCAAAGTTTCTCAGTAAAAAGCTTCAGTAAATTGCAATTCTCAAACAATACACTCCACATGGAAGATGGCTTTGGATACAAAAATATGAAGACTAATGAAGAGAATTCATAATCGGCAGGGGGAACATAGGCAATCGTCAACAAGGTCATGAGAGGTAGATTTATGAAACCAATTGCTCATGAAATGCTCCATGATGAAATTCTGCCCTCTTAAGTTCAACTTATCCTGTACTTTAATCCAAATAGATGAAGAGAGCAATGTATGCTACATTACACCATATTTTCTTCTTTCCCAGTAAGACCAATACAACTGGCTACTGCGTCCTCATCCTGCTATTCTCTGCAGCCCTCACTTGCAGGAAATAAGGATGGGCCTAAGAAACAGGGAGAACAATTAGACATTAGGTTTATGCCACAGAAATCTTAGAACCAGTACAGACACATGATATCAAATGCAAGATCGAAAATTAGGACAACTACACAGACTCATGCATGCAAAACACCCTTTGTCCCGTACATATATGTCCACTGATACAACAAAAATAAACAAGCCATATCATGTTGAGCCAATAAAACCTACAAAAGAAGGGGGTTAAGACATCTTCCCGTTTGTGGAAGAAACAAGCAAACAGTTTATCATGTTTTGACTCCGAATACTCTGGTCTTAATGCTGTAGTTTTCAAAAGTCACCTAATCCCACAGTGCAACACTCATTTGGTTATGCAGGCAAAAACATACACAAGAAAAAAGTTATCACCCAAAATAGTAGCTAAAATTATATGGAATTACCATTGCTTCTCTTGCTGTAAGTCTATCCTGATGGTCATAACGGAGAAGCTTGTCAAGAAAATCTATAGCCTGCAATTTCACCTCAAAATTAAAGGATCAAAATCCAAGCAAAGATTATTTGTTTTAGCAAACCCAAAGTGGTTTTATCTGAAGAAAATTACCACAGAAAAGAAAAGCACATACCTCTGGCGACACTAAATGCTGATTATCTGCATTTATAAATTTGGACCATGGCTTCCTACTGTGTCTGCAGGAAAAGTGAAGATTTTGACAGCAATCAGATATGTCACTATTCCGTTTCAGCAACCCTTTTAGTTGTACGCCCTCCATGCCATTTTGTTTGACTGACTAGCTATTTTCAGACTACTGAGATCATCTCAGTAAGTCAGCAACCGTATTTAGTTGCAGCTCACAATTTATTAGTACTCCTTTTATCCCTTGTTCTTTGACTAACTAGCTATTTGTATATTAGGAAAAAGAAACCTATTTCCTTAAATGACAAAGTCACCAAAATTCAAAAAGCTAAATGTGTTGTAACCTGCTCTACATAATTTTGAATTTTCTCTGTACATCTTTATACCTTTTTCAAATTGTCCAACGATATACCTTAAAATATCTCTACAAAACTCAAATATAGTAACTCATTCAAAATTTAATTCCCAGGCTCCGAAAAAGTCACCCATGTAAATCTTTTTGTTTTTCCCTCCAAGGACCAACCATGTAAAGTGAGGAGGAATGGAGTTAGTAATTCATTTAGATAGGTTTATGCTGGCTAACACATTGTTGTGACTAGGTTAATGAAGAGAGCCTGAATCATACCTCCCAACCATAGCCTCCAGCTGAGGATCAAGTTCTAGTTGATACTTGTGCAGATATGCATTCAACTCATCAGTTCCAAGTACCTAAAATGATAATTTCTCTGTCAACTCCAGATCAAGTAGGTAACGGTACTTGTATAAATGATAACATTTCAGCTTTTACTAACAACTGACTACTTTATTGGCTGATGTTAACAAGATCAACCTAACATCAAGACTCTTATAGACCGTTGACCAAGCTGGAGAATTATTTTCAAGGTATTACCTTAGCAATTTTGACAAGCTGATCCTGGTTATCATGACCATAGAAGAAAGGTTCCTTCCGGAAAATCTACATAAAGAATAATAGGCCTGATAAGCTGCAATTATAAGAGGATAAATACAAAATGCAGTCCTAAAAACTTGGGGGCCTAGTTTCAGCGCCCACCACCTCAAAACCAGAAAAAAAGATGAACGGATGGAGCACCATGTAATGGTTTAAAGTTTCTCACCATTCCTGCAAACATGCATCCAAGACTCCACATGTCCAAAGAATAGTCATAGTCTTGCAAGTCAACAAGAAGTTCCGGGCCCTTGAAGTATCTGAAAAACAAGCAAAGAGACATTCAAACTTGCTACACTAGCCTTTATATACCAAGAGGGGATACAGACAACCAATAATGACCACTACAACCTATTGATACTTTGTGTACCACAACTTTACGCTATAAGGCAGCTTAACCTTGTACTGGTTCTTGTTTAACTTTAACCTGAAACATTTTCTTTCTCCAAGTAAGAATTGATTGTTTAAGCATTGTTCTATGGAGCATGGAGCACTAGTAGATTCTTTCATTGTCAAGTCCATCCAACTAACAAACTGGAAATGATACATTCCATTAAAAGTTTACACTCCAAGAGCTGCTTTTGGCAATCTTAACTCCAAGAGTAGATAATATGAAACCCAGTACGATAATTCTGCTAATATATCAGTCACCAACAACTCATGGTCGGGAAGTGACACTATAAACCTTCTGAGATGGAGATTTGAAGAATACGAACTCCAAAAGCCAACCCCAGATAGATGATAAATATCATTTGTACTGTGAGGCATTGTGGCTCATAACTGAATAGCTAATTAAACAAAGACATACTGGAATGACTTGCTTTCGAACCAAAAGCTCATATAGCTCAGAGAAGAGTTAGTAAAGTGAAAGTGGAAAACATCTATAATAGGGAAACTGAAGATAAGACATAATTTGCTGGCAAAGCAACTGCTGCTATTCCACCAATCAGTTTTAGTAAAGTATTCCTTACCTTGAAGCCACACGAACATTATATTCCTTTCCTGGATGGTAAAATTCAGCAAGACCCCAGTCTATCAAGCGAAGCTTCCGCAATTCATGGTCTATCATAACATTATGTGGCTTGACATCTCTATGCATTATTCCCTGTGAATGACAATAGTCTAGTGCCTGCGGGTTCATAAAGAAGTTTCAATTTCCCACTTCCTCCACATGATGTACACAGGGAAGAGGATAATACCAAATTATACAACTGTTGCAAGAAGCTTTATTGTTAGAAGTAGGGGGGGAAGGGGGACTCTAAATGTAGAGTGAACGACGGGTTTCTTGTTAGCAAGTTGCTAGACTAGAGAACGGTTCAATTGAACATCAATATGAAACTGAAACAGACATCTAAAACAGAGGTCATCACAGGTTGGAGGACACCACTTCCCCCCAGAGTAGAACGGAGTATTCAATTATGGTATACCCTTCATCCAGCAGTTCTATTTGCGCACACACCCCTCCCACTTTCTTTTTCCCCTTCTTTTCCTATGGGCTTCTTGTTAATACGAGCCTACTGGTGCCTGCAAGACCTAGTTACGTTGAAATCAAAAAAGAAGATACATTTGTTACATTGAACTCAAAGAAGCAAAACTCCATCTTCTTTTTTCTCCTTTTAAACCCTTCCCTTTCATAGAGAGAACCATAATGGAATAAGAACAAAGAAACGAACACACTAGAGAAACAAGAAATCATTTTCGAAGAACAAGAAAGATTTGTACTTTTCGTTCATTTTTTTCCTTCTGCAGAACAAGAATAGAACATATAGAACCTAGGCAGCTATCTGCTTAAGCAAATTGCAAAGAATGTGCAAGGAAGAAGTAGCTTCAAGATAGAAACAGTAGGATCCGAGCATTAGGGATTGGCTCTTGCCTTTGGTACATTTATGCAAATCTACTGTACGTCAGGTCTCTCAGGAATAAATCAGTTCCAAAAATATTCACCCTCAAACTGAAAAACTATTTAACTCCAATTAATCAAGCAGTTATTGGAAAAACAAGAGTACACAAGAGAGTAAGCAGAAGCATTAATCTTCATTGACGACAGACTTTAACCCTATCGTCAGAACCAGATTGTTGTACGCATTCCGTGGTACATGCAACGTTGAGTATTTCACTACCCACATTCTTCACTTCTCCTCCACACTCGTCTTCTAAAATATTAGCAATTTCAAAGTCTAAGATTACTCTACATCAAAATAATGACTTCGTAAAATCTATCGGTATGTCTATTCCATATCCTAAAATAATCTGCAAACAAGCAGCCAAAGTATCCCAAAGAAGGGTTGTGCTATCGAAGTTATCAATTCACAACTCCAAACAACCGCATGTAAACCGTAACTTGAACCAATGAACCCATCATAAAATAAAGAAGGAAAATAAAATTTAAAGAGCTAATATTGAAAAGACAGTACATCATTACCAGTGTTTTCAAAGGCGAAAAGCACAAAAACGTGCTAAGGTATATTCGGGCTTTAAGCGCAAATAAAGCGTGTGCTTTAATGAAGAAAGGCGCAAAAAGAGGAAAAAAAATACAAATATGCATGTGTAATCCAAGACTAATAATTATAAGCACGAATTCCAATTTACTTGCTGAAGGCCAGATGCCTACTTAGTCTTTTTTGTTGGGCCAAACAGTCCTATGTAAATAGTTCTACTGTCTTTTTTTGATTTTTGAGCTCCCTTACTCTTGACTAGCCTCTTTGAGGTATATTTTCTTGTTAGTGGCTAGCTCCAAGATCCCATCATAACATCTTGTAATGGAGCTAGCATATTTATTTTTGTAATCACTGCATCTGCTTGATACCTTTCAATAAAGCAACTTACCTTATCAAAAATAATAATTATTATTATTATTATTATTATTATTATTATAAGCACGAATAACAAATATATGGACAAAGAAATTTTAAAAAATTACAATAAATTAAAATATCAAATTGTTCAGTCTCGCCTCTTCAGGATTACCCTCGTTGGGAAAAGTACACCTTAGAGCCTTGATGACAAGGCTGAAGCGTCCACTAAGCGAGGCAAAGTGCTCAACATTTTTGCGCCTCACTTCAGGGCTTAAGCACGGTTTAAGCACGCCTTTGACAACACTGATCATTACTCCAGACTCTTTCATCAATTAGAAGATTGGAGTGCATATGAGAAGCTATTAAAATTCAAAAAATTACCGAGAGAAAGCATGTTATCAAGAAATTTCAGGTTGCATAACTCTTCGTCTAGAGATGCTTATTCCTTTTCGAGGAATTAGTGAAAATAATCATGTTAAAAGAATTCACTTTTAATTTGGGACAAGAATTTAATTACATAATCTCCTGTAACTGTGTTAAGACATGAATGCCAAGGAATTTACTCCACAGATTCAATCAAAAGAAAATGAGAATTTATCTACACAACATTCAAGTGCTTCCAAAACCTTATTTCTAATTAGAAAGGGTGATTCAGCATATAAAAATTGGAAGGAACTCCCAAGATCCTCTTCCTTGTGCAAAATAAACAGCAAACAGCCAACATGCAAAGAAATGTATGGAAGAAACAAGCTTTTGGCTAGATAATAAGACATACATAAAACTAATATTTTCAGTCACATGAAAGAAAGAAGGTGACAGAGATGACGCAGACAAGGGGGTGGGAAGCAAAAGTGGCTGCAATCCAAAGATATAACCTTTTTTTATAGGAATGATCCGAAAGATATATCCTTTTACCTTGAGAAGCTCATATATGTAGTACCGGATGTCATAATCTGTTAATGTAGGGTACAGTACTTTGAAATCTGTACTGTTCACATACTCAAAAATTAAGCTTGGAGTTTTTGAGTGCTGATCTCTGACAATATCAAGGAGTTTGACAATGTTTGGTCCGCCACAGAGGTTCTGCAAGATTTTGATCTCTCTCTTGATCTACATAACACCATCAAATAACAATTCAAAAGCACATCTTATTCCAACTAAATCATTAGGTTGCAGAAGTACAGAATTAGAGAGGAGAAAAGAGAGAAAATATATATGACCAGCATGTAAAAATTGACCTATATTTCAGATATTCCACATGACAGACGTAACCAATTTTGCAGATATTTCCTATGAATGAAACTGATGTACTCCTAACAGAGTTACACACGAATAAGGCTGCCTACTTGACTACTTATCAGATATGCCACGACTCTAAATCAACACATATGAACAGATAATTGATAGATGACTATAGGCGAGTTTCACGAGATAGATACAACTCTTTCTATGAGGCTGTTAACATAGATGATTTTCTACAAATGTTAAGGTCAGCAGAAATTACTATGCAGTACATAAGAAGATGGCAGGAATTTTATACACGATAGGAAATGACTAATTTTACAGGAATTCTTTTTTCTAGCATAACAATTAGTTTCCTTTTTCTTTGGAGAAGAAAATTTGTTTTTATTCAAAAGGACTAGTTTCCTTTTTCTCTGTGAAGCAGAATTTTAAAGGAGTTACTCAATAAAAACACAAAGAAGCCATCTGTTAGATTCAAAACCAGTAACATAAGTTGAAAATACAAGAATTCATACCTTTTTCTTCTTGACAGGTTTCAGGATCTTGATTATGCACTTTTCGTTGCTGTTAACATTTATACCTTCAAAAACTTCACTATATTTTCCTCTTCCAACTTTCCGAACAACCTCATAGTCATCCTGATCACTGGAATAATGAAACATGAGGAAAATTGATAAGAATAATACAGCATCATAGGTTGCATTAAAGTTGAACTAGTCAAAGTGAGGATTGTGAACTGAAACAAAATCTAATGAAATTAATTGTATCATCATCCTAATACCATTTGAGGAGGTTAGATCAATTGACAAAGGAGGCCTGCTGACGTGATCCCTGAAACAGAGGACTTAGATTTACAATATACATGCTCTCAATTTAGCAAGAGAAGGTTTTATAGTCTCTTTTGAATTGTTCTATACTCAAGTAAGTAAATCACCAATGACTTAATGCCAAATGAAATGTTTTTAACCATTTGTACGTATAGCAACTTAGCAAGTAGCTGAGCAAGGACCTGGATTACGCTTCCGTTTTAGCAAGATAAGGTCTTAATAGCCTCCTACAATTTCGTTTGACTTAATATAGAGTACACAAGATGATTTATTTCCAGATAAAACTGGCACAAGGATTTGTGCTAACAGACTGTAGCCAGGCACCAGCCTCCGGAAATGAAACGAAATGTAGCATACATGCATAGTATATGCAATATATCAATTTCCAGCAAATTTTAAACATTTCTAAATGTTAGAAATGAAAACATTGTATTTAGAGCCCAACCCTAAAGCCATAGGCTTTAGCCTAACAATGAAAAGAAATAATCACAACAACTAACTCATGCAAAAGATTGAAAATTTGCTTCCTTGCAAACATTTCACACCAACTAGAAAACATCATAAATGATTTCCCCAAATGTTGAAAAAAAAAGCCTTTCTTTTGCTTTTGTCGTTCAAGATTAGGAGTTTATCAGCCAAACCAACATCCATACTGAAACACCCACAAATTTCCTTCAGCAATCAGCCAATCAATCAATCAACTATACCTCAACGCACACCACTCAAGTTGGGCTACATGAATTTCGTTCCCAATACAAGATAACTGTCTTTTTAGACAAAAGTGTGTAAAATTAAGGTTCTCAATCTGACACTTAAAGGGCCTATCCCTATAACAAAAAAAAATAAGTAAATAAATACCCTCACTTCCAATGTAAGCCTTTTTAGTCTGTCCCAAAAAGAATAATACCTTTCTATATATATAAAAAATTTGACTTTAAACTTCTCATTTTACTCTTCGTGAGATGATTTATAACTAGACAAATATCTAATGACTTATTTTAGACCACAAGTTTCAAAAATCATTCTTTTCTTTTTAAAACTCCATGTCCAATCAAACATCAACACATAAATTAGGACACAGTCAAACATAATCACTTAAATTGGGACTCAGTCAGACACCATCACACAAATTGGGACAGAGCTTGAAGTAATTGTCTTTTGAGTCAAATGTTCTATAAAATTAAGGTTCTCAATATAACACTTAAAGCTCTTATCCCTAAATAAATATTAGATAAATATGACATAGCATGATATAAAAGCATAAATTACATAATTCAAATTATCAATTAATAGGTGATTAAAGATAAATAAAAGAAGCAGAAAAATTACCCCCATTGAACAGTAAGGGCTTCATAATCCCAATATTCCCTCGGGCGAAGCACATTGACATCGGTGTAAACACGAGCTTTCGACATAATTTTACCGTCAATCACTGGTTCAGAGCTGTTGATCTTACCAAAACTGACGAAATTTCCGGTAGCAGAAGTAGCGACGGGCTGTAGGAGGTCAGGAGGTGAGGCAAGAGGTGCACGATAAGCAACAAGGACGGCGCACACTAGAAGAAATTGAAGGCAGCATCTTCCATGTGAAGCCACCGCCGGTGAAGTAATCAACAGCGATTCTCAGTATAATTATAGTGAAGTAGATGATTTCAAAGGTAGAGGAGAGGAGAATGCTATTTCTGGAGAACAAGTGGGGAGTGTTAGATCGACTTTTGGCCACTTGGGTGTAAGCTTGATGCACTGGTCCCTGGACCTGGACCAATGTATGGGTGGGTGTGACACTAATAGCCTATTTGGCCAAATTTCTAAAATCGAACAATATTTTTTTCAAAAGCACTTTTGATGTTTTTGACTAATTAATTTAAAAAATATTTTTAAGTGGTAATTATTATTTGGCCAAGCTATAAAAAGTGTTCTAAGTATATTTTTATTAAAATTATTTTTCAAAAAAGTACTTATGAAGATAAGCTATTTTTTTTATGCTTCTTCAAAACTACTTTTGTTTCTACTCAAAAGTATTTTTTTCTTCTAAAAGATTGGTCAAACATTTCAACTTTAAAAAAAAAAATATTTTTAGCCTTGAAAAAGCTTGGCCAAATAGGCTATAAGGATTTTGGGTCTAAACGTGCGCCTAAGCGCCTTTTTTCTTTTTTGTGTTTGTATTTCTTTTGGGACCCGACTTACAATCATTTTTTTTTTTTGCCAAAATTTCGTTTTCAAAAATTAAGATTATTTGTCAAGATTTTAGAAGTAAAAAAAAGTACTTTTTAAATAGAAGCAGAAATAGTTTTTGAAAAGTAGAAAAAATAGTTTCTCATAAAAGTATTTTTTTTAAAACTATTTTTGAGAAAAATATACTTATAAATATTTTTTTTAAAATTTGGCCAAACATTAATTGTTGCTTAAAAGTATTTTTCAAATTGATTAGTCAAACACAATGTGCTTCTCACCCAAAGTAATTTTGAGAAAAAAATTATTTTCAAAAAAATTGATTTTAGAAGTACGACCAAACATGTTATTAGTGCATTTGGATTACTGAAGCTAAATTGTTATTATGCGCCGTAAACAAGTGATTTGAATAGAAGTATTGAAATTGAAAAAAATTGCTATTATGCTTGATAAACAAGTGATTTGAATAGAAGTATTGAAACTGAAAAAAATTGTTAATATGCTTGGTAAATAAGTGATGGTAAAAAAAAAATCTGAAATAACTTAGTATTTCAATTCACTTTCAATTTGTTCACACCATAAAAATTGTTAATATGCTTGGTAAATAAGTGATGGTAAAAAAAAAATCTGAAATAACTTAGTATTTCAATTCACTTTCAATTTGTTCACACCATAAAAATTGTTAATATGCTTGGTAAATAAGTGATGGTAAAAAAAAAATCTGAAATAACTTAGTATTTCAATTCACTTTCAATTTAAACTGATCACATAAGATAACTTTTTTAAATATAAGTTACTAGTATCTAACAAACATATAAAATGTTATGCAAGGAAATGATATTTGTTGGTGGCTTTTAATTCTTAAATTTACACAAAGAGAAACTTCACATTAAGAATGAAAATGCAGTTGGCTGATGTTTTTAGCATCATTGCGCAATTGCAACTTATTTATGGAAGTAACGTATTTGAACTTTTCAACTTTATTTCGTTTTATATCGAGTATTGTTGGTGCTTCTCTTCGTCACCTGTGGAGTAAATATTTGTTAATTGTTACCTTATTCATGGTAACATGCACCAAGAGTCATCTTTTCATGCCCCAAAGTCAAGGGTTATCCAAAAAAAAAATTATCTCATTGTAACAAATTTTATATTGTTGCATTAGCAGAAAAGATAGCAGATGTAGAGATGGAGGAAAGGAAGAGATACAAGAGATGAAGAAACAGAGTAATTAGGTTTAAGGCTTTTGTAATTAAAGGTAATATTGGAATTACAAAAATTTATAAGGGATACAAAAGTAAAATCATTGGTCAACTCAAAATAGCTTAACAGCCAAAAAAACTATTATAGTTGAAACTATTATAGTTGAAATTATCCGGCTTATAGCTTTTGGCTATTTATTCAACATCGCCATACATTTAAAAAGTTAAAAAAAACTTAAAGCTGATTTGACCAACTTAAAAGTCAATCCAAGCATCTTCATCCAAATTTTTGTGCCTGCCAAAAGAATGAATGGTTGTATTTTCGATAGTCGTTCGGACCTTAATTTTTTTTAATAAATGTGCAGTCTGAGCAAACTTTCACATTCGGATACTTTCAATCTTCCACTAGCACATATATTCTTTAATTTTGTCACCAAGGTTTAGAAGATGAAAAACACTTAGCTAATAGTTTATCTCTATTGAGATTTGATTGTCTTTATAATATATATTGGTTTAGGAATGGTAGAAAAAGTTTTTTTGAGTTATATTTTTATAATTAAATATATTTTTAAAAAATTGTATTTTAAACAAAAATCATGTAACTGTCAAATATTAATAGAATCATGACATGTTAATTTAGAATTCTTCGGTAGAACCAAATCTCTTTACTTCCAGATGCCAATGAAAGCTTTGACGAAATTATCAAGGGAAAGAATCGACAAGATGAGTGTTTTCAAACAGAAACTTGTGATTGAAAAAGTGAGGAGAATTTCTAACTGATATTTTCTTTTTTTTCTTCACAAAATATGTGCCTTTTGTAAAATAAGCCAATCGATTTGGTAAAGTTTTAGGAAGCACTAATGTGGAATCAACTACGAAGACTAAATGAGGAAGTATCTTTGTCACTTTGCTCTCTCCGTTAAACAATTCAGTCTGTTATTTGTACTGCCTAAAGTGAAATGTGTTGTTTTCAAAAGAATAGCAACTCACTGGCACATTTCAGCACGTGCGACTTCCAAAAGTTCGATCTACCTCTCTTTTTCTAATAGAGTTTAAAACTTGAACGTGTTTGGGAAGATAAGTGGTTTCTTACTCATTTTTTTTTAGTGTTTAGTTAACAACAACAATAATAACAAATCCGGTATTATTCGACCAAAAAATATAAATTTTTGTTCAACTAATTAAATTTGTATAAATAATTGTAAGCTTTGGACCCATTTTGGGATTTTATTTATATATTAGCCACTAGGCAAGTACTGCCGAGTGGTATAGTTGCTTAAAAAAATATATATAAATAAGGGTTAATCTTAGTTAACAATAATATTCTAAATATGTAGTTCTCAAAAGTGCAATAAATATCACATAGATATGATTTGATAATGGCAGCAACATACAATCGATATTCTAGAAATTAAAGGCAATAATGTAGCATTCAATATCAATGAATAGCAATAAATGACATTTAAGTAAATAAAATGAATAAGTCACCCCAAGAAAGAATGGACTCAGTGAATGATCTTTTTGACAATGATGAGTGATGGACAATCATTTGAATATCTGAGTTATTCTCGAATCTAGTGAAAAAATGCAAACAAGAATCTTTAGTGAAAAAGGTGATGTTTGTATGCTTGCCATGGAATCTGATTCTCTCTTTGAAATCAAAGTATCTTTATAAAATGAATATCACATGTCTTCTATCACTATGTCTCTTTCTATTTATAGGGAACATGTTCCTAGAAACCCTAATAGTACAAATGCAGAGAATATCCACTAGAATATTCTCCTTTAAGTCCTATCTTAACACCAGTCGTTATAACTCTGTCGAAAGTGCTCGACCTCGGTCTCGATTACGTCTCTTAGACTTCAGTCTTGCTGACCTCGGTCCAATCACTTATTCACCTATAATACTCCTGGTAATATTTTCAGCCATAGTCCCTTGGCGTCTTCGAGCTTTTTCTTCATGATGTTTAGTATGGATTTATTGGAGGATTCTGTTTGCCTATTACCCACTGGGTGATACGGGGTTGAGAGTATCCTCTTGATATTCTATTTCTCGAAGAACTCAGCGATTTTCTTTCCCGTGAACTGGGGTCCGTTGTCACATCTGATCTACCGGTGAATCATTGGAGCGTATTTTTGGCACTGTTTGCATTTCCTCATGAAGTCTACAGTGTCCTTTTTCATGGTGGGCTAATAGTATCCCGTCCGTATGAGGCATCTGACTAGTGCTCGGCTGCAAGAGTGAGCATCGCAGTGGCCTTCATGGACTTCCTCGAGGACGCGCTAAATCTGGTTCGAGCCCAAACATTTTGCTAGGTGGACGCCGTAAGTTCTCTTATATAGGTCCCTATGGAGAAGGTTGTATCTGGCAGTTTGAGTTCTTAGTTTCTTGGCTTCTTTCTTGTCGCTTAGAAGTGTGTCGTCTTGCAAGTAGACGATAACAAGATTGCGCCAATCCCAAGTCAAGTTTATGGTTCTTACTTCGATTTGGACTAGTGACGAGTTGAGAAGGTGGACTACGCTTTTGGCACCGGTCGTGATGCTTTTGGTAGCTGAGGCCAACTTGGCGAGGCCATCTGCCTCGGCATTCTGAGCCCGTGGAATCTGGTCGAGCTTGCATTCATCGAACTCGGGCAGTAGCTTGCAGATCTCAGTATGGCATTTTTGCAACCTTTGTTCTTTGATTTGGTAAGCCCCTATGACTTGGTTATCTACGAGCTGGGAGTCATAGCCGAGTTTCAACCGCTTCGCCCCATACTTGAGTGCTATCCTCAACCCTGCGATTACGGCCTCATACTCGACCTCGTTGTTAGTCATATTCGGGCATCTTATGGACTAGCGAATGATTTCGCCCGTATGGACCTCGAGTATGAGTCCCAGTCTAAACCCTGATGCATTGGATGTGCCATCGGTGTATAGGACCTAGAGGTCCTGTGTTTGGAGGGAAGCTTGGACAGCCTCCCTCTCGACTTCAGTCATTATTTTTGCACTGAAGTCGACGACGAAGTCAGCGAGCACCTGCGACTTTATCGTCGTTCGCGGCTGGTATGTGATATCGTGCTCACTTAGCTCGATGGCCCACTTGGCCAACCTCCTTAACGGCTCGGGTTTATGCAAAATGCTTCTTAGGGGAAAGGTTGTGACGACCGAGATGGGATAGCATTGGAAATAGGGTCTAAGCTTTCGTGAAGCTATGACCAGGGCCAAAGCCATTTTTTCGAGGTGCAGGTACCTCGTCTTGGCGTCGATGAGTGTCTTGCTGATGTAATAGATGAGATATTGCATACCTTTATTTTCGCGGATCAAGACTGTAGTTACCGCTACCTCGGAGACGGCTAGATAGACAAGGAGTTGCTCCCCAGGTTCGGGTTTT